GCCTGGAAAATTTAAGGAGTTATTATTATGTACGTTTAGATGATACAACCGGTAGGATACTTTTGCACGTTACTGTACATTTAGCACCTCTCTCTTCTTCTAAAGAAAGCGACTATAATTATCTATCTGCGAACAAAACCGGTTCTCAATTTTCGTATCCCGACGCCGTGACTTATGTAATGAAATGGTGTTATACGACGAATTTAATAATAATAATAGCATTTAAATAGCGATTTACGATTAATATTATTAGTACGACGATCACTTATATGAATTGCACAATATCTAGCTAGCTATGGATTTAGAATAGCTATACCGCAGTAGCAATTTTTAGATATATAGACAACCAAAGTTCGCACTATATCGAGGTGCGACTGTAGATCGTAAGATGGAATTGGACTCTATGATGTAGTTAACATTCATACGTTTTTTTATAAGTGTTGGTCACATGCTCTATTCTATTCAGCTAGACGACATTATTATAAAAAAATGCGAGACGACAGAGAGTACGCGCTTAATATCAATAAAATGTAAGTATTGCTGCATTCATAGACTTTGTGTGTTTGAGTAAATTCGTAGCCTAAACCGTTGTAAAGAAAAAGAAGACTGTAACTGCCACTTTTATAATTAAAAACAAAACAAAACAAAACAAAAACAAAACTATCTATCTATTCATAACGTTGGTACCTGTGTGCATTCAGGATTTAAGAGCCAAAAAGATTATAATCTTTGTCGCTTTTCTCTCAGATTGTTGTGTCTGATATACGACGTTTCATCATAGCACAAGGCATCAACAAGAAAAACCGCAAAGAAGTTAAGACACGAAAAAGGGCAAAAACTTTTGACATACCTGAGGTCCGTGAGAGGTGAGAAGAGGTGAGAAAGATTCATACGTTCACGAAAGATTTCATACGCGCGCTTTTTATCAGATGCTTGCCCACGGAAATGTGTTTATGCATCGTTTTACATCACTTCGCAGAAATCACAAAATTGTAGCATTAAATATACTACTATTAACAAATTAGTAACATTTTGTTATTGTTATTATATATTATTATTATAGATATCGCCAATTACTTAGTACAGTCATATTATTCTCAATTAGCATTAAGCTAGTTAAATCTAATTAGGAAATCTGTATGCAACACAGAAGATTCATTGGTTATGTGCTCAAAAAATTTTCAGCATGTGATATGACCATGGGAATTCATAAAAATGTGGCTGTGGTGTTGTAGCAGTAAGTAGTTACTATTACATTATAATAAGGAAAATATTAACATACTGACATTATCCGTCTCTCCAATGTTAGATTTTGTGATGATGAATGGCATGTTCGCAATTAATTATTTATTTCTACGTCTCAACTTCAGGTGACAAGTGATATTGGATGCCATTAACGGTATTATACGGAGTGTGGGAAACCCGCAATATACTGCTGCAGGGGGTTCACAAAATCTCTTCCTTAGATATTAGAATGAACTATATTGACAGTGAAAAGCAGAAAATTATTGCCATACTAATAGCAACAGTAATAGCATTTTGAAATGTTCGTTGAATTTAATGGCATAATAGTACTCACAATAACGATAATTACCATTTCGTTTCTTTCGCACTGGGAAATGATCTGAGAGAAAGTAAAAAACGGATATAAGGAGTGAGACGAACAGAACACACGATGATTTACATTTATAGTAATACAGCATGTAAATTTACTATTTTTGATCCTCAAGCATTTTTAAATTCTCATGTAAAGCTGATCTGATCTGATCTGATTATCGTTGAGACATATTTAATAGAGCCCACCTCCCCCATTTCTTCAACATTTGAATATCCCATAACACACCATAAGGCCTTACTCTCGGCGGCCCATATTACACTCAATTACGGCGGCCAACATACTAAATAATAATGATTCTATGACGGTGGGTGATTATGAAGTAGCTCTGGCCCCTGGCCCACGTAAGAATGAACCAGCCGGCCCGCATAAAAATGAACCAGTCCGGCACCGCGTAAGAATGAACCAGCCCGGTCCCGCGTAATAATGAACCAGCCTTACAACACGGTCTATCGACCACATAACGGCGAAAGAATTAACACCGAACATTCGGCCCCCACACTAACGTGCAGTACACGACTACACATGCACATAAATCTGCTTCTCCATTATTAACGCACCGAATAGATTTAAGGTAATAATTGTGATAACGAAAGTTGTTATTGTACGTTTATTAATTTATTCACATATCAAAAGGTATCTTTTCGCCTTCGCGATAGCCAAACTAACTATTATAATATCCATTATAAACTTAGAAGTTACATACAAAAAGTATCTCGACACACGATCTCGTTCTCCCGCTACTTGAAAACTCGCTCACAATCACTCGACTCGGATTGCTTTTGACTGTATAATAAAATAGCGATGATGAGGATGCTGAGTTTGTGTTTATTGACTCGAACAGCACTCGAATCGTTCACCTTTTAAAAGTCGGAAAATTTTGTAAGCTGCTGGCTACAACCCAACAACTCAACAACCCAACAATACATCGATAATTTTATAGACTACCATGTATACAGTATGTATTATTATAACTCATGTAATAATTGCATCGTCTTATTCTTAAAGTAAACGATCACAAAACTCCAAATCAAAACATTATTATTAAATACATCTAGAAATAAATAATTGCAAAGCCATATCTAATATCAGATTGGCTTGATTCTTCGAAAACGCAAAATCGATCTTCGTCATCAATCACTAATAACTCAACAACAATAATCATATATTCATGAAATTCACACATTCGTTAAACATAACTGTTGTCGAGGTGTATACTAAAAATTGACACATATTAAGTACGATTTAAATTTCGATATTCCGATTCGCTTGATTCTTCCAAAGACGCGAAATCGGATTACTGAATTATAATAATAAAATTGTCAATACAATGGTCTAATTATCGTATAACTTTGTGAATAGTATATATTAGTTAACAACACTTCATTCCAAGTACAGTGAACCCTCCATAAATGTACGCTATCTCTCATTCCCAGGCTCGGGAGTTAAAATGCACATCCTCCACATCCTGCACAGCTTGTTTACATATTAAATTGTGTCACTTACTGCAAACGAGAATTACTGTTAAAAATTCTTCCAACGATCGCCAACACAATGACTATATGACTCATACGCCAACATTAGGCAACTAATGACTTTCCTGACAGTATGTCAGTCTGACGCTGCAGCATACCAAACCTCTGTATCTTAAACCGTTACCACCAGCCCGTCGACTTTATCTTATAGAGTTTGACTATGTACACTGTTACTTAAATAATTTTCGATTTGTTTACGCCAAAAAGGACGTATGCAATGCATTGCGATAAAGTTGGATAAGTATTTAACGAATTGGTACGCATAAAGAAGTCAAGTTCGATAAAATTAGATAGCAGTTTTGGTTTGCTTACAAATTGATGTGCATAAAGAATGTCAAGTCGGCACAGGCGTTTCACGAAATTTTACATACTAATACCCCTAACCAAATTGGTGTGCATAAAGAATGCAAGACGAAACATTGCCTTTCATAAGTAGTTAGATGATATCTCGATTGGATTACATCAAGGGAAAATTGTTGCGTATAAGAATGCCAAGTTAGTACATGTGTTATTTTTGTGTTAAGCTGCATTGTAATCTCTTCCATCTACATTCAAAACATGTGATTGTTAAGATGTGTAGGGTTTTAATGTCATACACGCATGTGGTCTAGGCGTTAGACATTTCGTCTTGACATGCACGTTTCTCGTCTGCTAGTATTATTAGTTATAGCATACCAAACCTTTGTATTGCCAAAACATACTATTGCACTACTGATCTCCAATACGATGGCCTGAATTAATCAAACGTTATCATCATTGTTGACTCGAATCTCCTTTACTTTTTACGAGCGGAAATTTATTTTTGTAAAGAAAAGTTGAATGGTCGATTGTTCCATTGTCTTGGCCATATAAAAAAAAGGCGACTCTCTGGCTTGGAAAAAACCATTCCACCACGTCGCAACTTTACATTTTTTAATAAAAACGCCAATGAAGTTATCAACATTTGCTACCATCTTCCTAGCTGTTATTAGTATTAGTACGGCGACGGCTATTCCGGGGAAATTTTTTGACCGATTTTTTGTGATAATATTCGAAAATACTAGTTTCCAGACGGCGATACAAAACCCTTATCTAGCAAGCTTGATTACCCGTAACAATAGTGTCTTGCTTAACAACTATTTTGCGGTCTCGCATCCCTCGGAGGTTATGCTCAATCTTTATATATTCTTGATATCCAACGATAAAATCCATTCTCCTAAATTGACAAACAATTATTTTTTATTATTGTGTTTAGCCCAATTATGTCGCAACGCTATTTGGTTCAACCGCTGGTATCCTCGACGATAATTTCTACAGCGTTGATGGAACCAATTTAGTTGATCTTCTCGAGGCAAAAGGAATAAGTTGGAAGGCCTATATGCAAGATTATCGTAAGTAAACTTTAGATTTTACATCTCTTGGCGTGCTGTCTTTTCTTGCCTAATATTTATTTTTGGTTCAGCTGGTGCTTGTTTTACCAACATGACTTCTACTTCTGGCCTCTACGTACGAAAACATAACCCGTTTATTATTATGTCGGATGTCAGCACCGACCCTGCGCGGTGCGCAAAGATCGTTAACGCCGACGATATCGACAACGACCTGGCTGCGGACGGCCTGCCGCAGTTCTCTTATTACGTTCCAAATATGAACAACGACGCTCATGACACGAACACAACGTTCGCCATGAGTTGGTTTTCTCCCTGGTTTGAAGAGAGGCTTCAGAATTCGAAATTTACTGACGGCACACTCTTTCTTATTACGTTCGATGAGGACGACACCAAGGGTGACAATCATATCTTTGCCAGTCTTCTTGGTAGTCCTGTGAAACCAGGAGGTCCTCATACGGACATGACAAACTACACCCATTATTCGATTCTAAAAACTCTCGAAGACAACTGGGGTTTGGATAACCTGGGTCGGAACGATACCACTGCGACCGCGTTCACTAATTTCTTGCAAGGTTTTTAGAATGAAGTAACGTGATGAAAGAAGTATTAGTAACGTCTGTTAGAATTAGCACTCCGATAAACATGTTTGAGTAATTTGCATCATCAAAGTTCAATTATTTATTAATAATAAATACATAATCACGTTTTACGTGTATGTCATACAGTTGTGTATAAAATGCATCCACCGTGTATAATAAAATGCATCCACCAACAAGTTAAATTAAGAATCAAGAGTTGATCCGAATAGCAAAAATAAAAGTAGACTACTGGATAACATCTTTTCATACATAATCGCTTGTTCTTAAAAACGTGTATTTAATGTTAATATTTCGCTGCAATTGAACATTCTATTTTATTTTATTTAGCATAAAAAATATCTATAATCCATCCAATCGGATTCATTCAATCGACAAGTTGACAATTTGATGTTTGTTAACCAGTTGTCTTTGGATCGCTGGAATCAAGAAGACATGTCGCAACCTGCGTTGGCCGAGAGGTAGGCTATAGGCGAGACAGTTGTGTTCTTTAGTGTTTTTTACCCCCTCTTTCTATTGCATTGATTCATATCCTTTATAATGCATTTCTTGTTAGCCAAGCACTATACCTCGATCCAGGTAATCATGTCCGTCTAAACGTACCAAACATCCTAGTCTATTCTATCACTCCTCCTCACTCACTCACTCACTGACTCGCCCGCAACTCATTCTACTACTCTTACCCACTTTCTCATCTATACAGCGATCCGCGACTGGGTCCTATTTCCTATAGTGTTTGTAATGGTTCTCGTGGGCATTCTTAGACATCAAATAACACTCCTCCTTTCCGGCTCACCCAAGAAACCTACCTGCAAAGCCATCCGTGAAACAAAAGCTCTCCAACGTGGCGTGATTCTTCGCACGTACGGGAACAACGTTCCGCCGTCGGCATTTTCGTCGCGAAAGACAATCTTGACGCAGGCTTACGAGCGAGGCGTGTATCTGAAGAACCCAGGGCAGGCAAACACGCCAGTTAATCCAATGACAGATCCGCAAGGAATGGAAATGATGATGGAAGGCATGAAGAAAAACATGGCCATGATCATACCACAGACTATTATCATGGGATGGATTAATTTCTTCTTTTCTGGGTTTGTGTTGAGTGAGTATTGATGGTGAGAAGTAGACAGGGATAGAGGATGACTTCTCTCGCGGGTTGGGAATGTATAGTCTCGTTATTATGGTTACGACAAATGGAGTCTTCGTCAGCTCCATTAAACCATTTTTGACCCGACTTTAATTATCTTTGACCCTTATAGTAAAATTACCATTTCCGTTGACGGTTCGCTTCAAAACCATGCTCCAACGGGGTGTCGAAACACCCGATATGGACGTAACCTGGGTCTCCTCTCTATCCTGGTACTTCCTTAATCTCTTTGGTCTTCGTCCCGTCTACACTCTACTCCTCGGCGAAGATAACTCTGCTGATGGTATGCGGGACATGGCCGCAATGTCTACCATGGGAATGACACAAACAGGACAGCCACAAGATTTCAACAAGTTGTTTCAGACGGAAAAGGAGAATTTACAGCTCACGCCGCACGAGTGGGAATTGGATGAAATCGAGAATAGGCTTTTGGTAAAATACGGGAAGAGAGTAGAATCGATTAAAGAGGTGAAAAAAGAGGAATCGATTAAAGTGAAGAAAGAAGAAGGCAGTGAAAAAGAAAAGGAATCTGGGCTGGAAGGAAGAGGCAAGCGGAGGAAAGGGCAAAAACGAGATTGATAGAAAATTAAAATAGTTAGGAGGGGACACTAAATGACGATTGTCTGGTAGTTTGCGTGCTGACTTGTTTGTGAATATGTTTATGAAATAATCCCAAAACTAAATACATAGATTTTTTCTTTAATACATGAACCAGATGGCAAATTGTCAGATTCATAAACCCAATTGTAAACCCAATAGGTTGGGCGTTATTTCTCTCCCTATGAATTTGATGAATTAGTAAACATGTACCCACAATAATAGGGCGATTTATTTGTAATTATAATCAAAGACGCTTCTATTGTCTGGGAATCCTATCTTAGATTGTTTTGGGAGAGACTGTCCTTGCAACTACGGGTTGTATCAACACTGTTAATGAAACTTTGTTTTACTTTGCTGACGCGATTATAATGGTTTACCCATTTTACAATTACCTTTTCATATTCTATGAATATTATACTCTATCTGCATTGGTTCTCAACCCGAAACCCTTGAGTGGTAAAAATTATTATAAAATAGACTTCAAGTAATTTGTCACATTACTAATTTAGTATAAACTCTTGTGTACAAAGCTTTAGTTTCGCAATCGCCTCTCCTACTACGTTTAACTCTATTAATTTTAAAATACAACATAATAAAATACAAAGGAAACTTATCATACAAAAAAAGAAACAACAACGTCCAAGCCATCCCATCCGCAATCTCTCATTCTTACCGATGTCAACGCCTTCTTTCTCTCATCCCACCTTTTTATCAATCGACTTTTCACCGGCCGCCACCATTTCCCCCATTTCCATTCCCCGCACCAACCCAATACGTCCCAGGTCTATTCCCTCCATTGCTACCTAATGGATGTATAGCGACTTCAGCAACGGTTGATCCACGTCGTTGATTCGTGTTATTGTTATATAACTGTCTCAGACTAGACGCAGATGAAGATGTCCTGAGCGACATGCTTTCCGAGCGAAGTGGTTGATTAGGGTGGGCATATGGAGACTGTGGGTAATGGTTGTAAGGAGTCGCGTACTGTGGTCGGAGAGTTGCCGGGGAGGGAGATGGGGAGGACATGGGGCGTAAAGGGAGAGGGTCTTCCGTGAGTGTGGATGCGTATAATCCCGCATTCCTGATTTGTTTAGGGCTAAACCAAGTATTTTAGAAAAAAAAAAGGTTTGATTTGGCGGTCAATACACTAATCAATATAGATGCCCAAATTTTTTTTTAGTCCCCCTGGATCAGTAAACAGATAAACACACACTTACCTTAGTGCATTTCCCCACGAATTTTTCTTTGGACTTCCCAAATCCTTTTCCAATCTGACTACACTCCCCATTCCACCTCCATTCCCTCCGCCGCTCATTGACCCAAATACTGGTGTCCCTGGCACGCCACCTCCTACCGTCCCACCTGCTCCTATGTTCAATCCTCTTCTTCGCGCTTCCTCTCTTGACGTCAATGGTGGCGAGTTGTAAGGATTAAGCGTGGCAAGCGAAGGAGAAATAGAATGATCGGAAACAAAATGGTACTTCTTATCAATCACTTTATCAAAAAACGCGTCGAATTTGTCGGACGCCAATGATGCATGAAAAAAGTGGGATGGAGCTAGGGTACACTTTGGATATATAAGTTGGTTTGAAGTTTGATGGAATAGACTGGTGGTTAGTGATGACGATAGATTAATTATGTGGAGAGGCAATTATGTGAGAAAATTTAAAGAAGGGCGTCAACGTGCAGTTACAACTTTTACAGTACGTTGAACTCAACTTACAACATTAACGCATTCTCCGCCGTATTCATCGACAATACTATATCGTCTCTGTCGGCCTGTAAGTTCTTGTTTGACTAAATCAGCTTTTGTCCCAACGACTAGTATAGGTACACTGGCAAATTGTTCTCCTATTTGTAACTCAAAATCGTATTCTATACGATTGAGCAGAATGACGATGCAGATATTGATGTTATATAATTAGATGGAAGAGTTTATGACTTATACAGACCAGTATTTTTTGATCTCAAGCTTCAATTTAGTATCTTCCATTTCTTTAACATTGAACATAAAAGTTCGTTCGCATCCGATCCCGCTAAATCCGAAACCTACCGTTTTTTTTGTTACCGATCGCACTACCGGCCCACGACTTTTCGTTATCCTTATATGCCTCAGAATGTAGCACCTCTGCAATCCACCTCCACAGGTTGTAATAGGATTTTCGATTGCTAACATCGTGGACAAGTATTATCCCATTTACTTGATGATAGAACATGTTACGAGACGACGTGTGTGTAGAAGATCCACTAATATCAATAAATTCAATAAAGTAAGGTTTCTGGAGACGAGTGTGGGTATAAAGCTAGGGTGAAGAGGGAAACATGATTGAAAGAAAAGGGCAGGCCGTTCGCGGAGAAATAGAAATCACGAAAGCGGGAGAAACGGTGAGGATAAAATAGCGACTTAAGTGGAAAATATAAAAGAAAAGTTGATCATTCTACGTTTATTGTGATTCACCTTGATTTCGATAGAACAACCAATCGTCCAAGTCGGATTTCGCAGGGGTTCGTTGTGACAGAGCATATGAACAAGACTTGTTTTTCCCTTTTTTTTTATGTATATAAATTGACAAACCAAATTCCGATCAAAAAATCGATTTCGTTTTATCCAACTTTCAATGATAACGGGTAGAAAAAACTACTTACAACACCCGAATCTCCAACAACTATTATACGTATTTTCTCTGTTGGCTCCATTGCGAACGAGAGTCCTAAAGGTATAAACGTGGAATGATAAGTGTGGCAACCACGTTCATATGTTTGGTAACACGAACTAGGACAAAAAGGATTGGTTGATATAAAATGACATATTTGTCCCCACATACTAATAAGTTTAGTGTTAGACTGACAAAGGGCTGTTGTGTATCAATTACTTTCATGTTTCTCTGGCGAAACTCGATTACTTGCGAGCATAATCCCTTACATGGGCATATTAATAATGGTCAATAAAACCGTATTGCTGACGAGTTATTCAATCGTTATTCACTGATTCTTTTTTCCCACCAAATTGGGACTTGATTCTTTAACGCGGGGGGTATATGCAGTCTATATTAATATGTATAACACATGTAATGCACGGATTGTGCATAGGTTTATGCGTACATTTTCCATGTAGGGTATACGTCAACTGCACGGTAAAATTAAAGTCCAATTCTGACATTTTGATATTTTTGGATTCGCTTTGGGCGCGTAATGCTGACGATGAGCGTTCAATCAACTTGAACTTTCTGACGCGATACCGACACAAATAGAAATGATAATCAAACCATTTCAATCGACGGTTTTTTCCAAGTGATACAAATTAAATTATTCGGCCGGTCAAACACTTCTGATCAGTATAATTTTTTAATTGCAAGTCTTGTTAGTGCAATCACTATGAAGGACAAATGTGGGCTGTTTTAACTACTCGTTCAATCAAGTTGTGCAATCAGAATGTGCAAAATTCACAATACAGCGGCTATACTCTCTATGAAATATGATTGTAACGGTAAGTTAGCATGTCTCTTTAAACCGATCTAGCAGTTACCCACGAGCATGAGTTTCACATTCTCTCGTGAACATAGTGTGTTTAGGAGGAAATTTGTTATTGTCTTTTTTAAAAATCGACAAAACACTTTATTCTGTTCTTATTAGAATTTATTTCAACGCCGAAAACATCTTACTATACATCTGTTTCTCCTTCGCCTTTAATTCTGCAACTCTCTTCTTAACTATGGCGATCTCCTTTGCGATTCCTGGATCATTCGGACTTAACTTCTGCGCCTCTTCCAGATTTTGCAAGGCCTCATCAGTTTTACCCAACTTCCCTCGTGCCACACCAAGTCTATACAACGCTTTGGCTTTATCTGTGTCTGTCAACCCATCCATTTCTAGTACTGTTGATGTGCCTTTTTCTACTGCTTCATAGTCAGGGAGCTTGAGTTCGGCTGCGGCCTTATTTAAATAACAAGAAATCTTGAGGGAATTATATTGAGTCGTGAGCGATTCGTCTTCACCTCCAGATAGTTCGTTTATATAACGGATAGCCTGCGCAGAAAGAATAGAGAAAAGACGATAAGTAACACGGTTGACCAATATCGGGAGGTCTATGGATAAAACTTGCGGTTTCAATAAACTTACCTTGGTGTACTTCTCAGCTGCGGTGGCATAATCTCCCTTTTTAAAGTAGTCGCTTCCAATCGTCTTAACTGAAGAGGCAATGCTGAAGATTTGTTGTGTCTCTAATTCACCTTCGGCGTCCTCTACACTCAACAAGCACAATTCATATTAGTACGCATTCAATCACACAACTACGTAATTATATAAGTCTCAGCTGTCATTTTCAAACATTACCTGGGGCATCCTCGTACACATCTCCGTCAGCTGGTGGCAAAACGCCATCATCCTCGCCTTCTTTAAGTTCTCCACAGTCAGCAATGATAACATCATCGACAGGGCGGTCGTCCGTTGTTGTGACATTTTCCATTTTACGAACTATGTTTTTCCCTTTGATTACTTTCCCAAAAATCACGTGCTTATCATCTAAATGTGGTGTCTGTCAGATTAAGAGTGAAAGAGTAAAGTTAATCAAGATACCGTTGTTGAATTGATTGATTGATTGATTGATTGCACAATTATCGTTTTGATTTAATCGTATCATCTCCTTCCTCTTATTCTTTACCTTTGCTGTCGTGATAAAGAACTGTGATCCATTTGTATCTGCTCCAGCATTTGCCATAGACAATAAAAAGGTCCGATCGTGTTTGAATACGAATGCCTCATCTATAAAATACGACGCACTAATTAGTACATTTTCCAGATTCTGGGTTTTTTAACCGTGTTTACAACAATACCTTCAAACTTCTCTCCATAGATACTCTCGCCACCAGTACCGTTACCAGCGGTAAAATCTCCGCCTTGACACATAAAGCCCTATTTTGAGCAGTGCAGATGAATGAGTGATGATATCATGGTTTAGTATCGGAAATTGGCGTAAAAGATGACGGTTTGACGACATGTTCGTTATTTTCTCACCTTTATGATACGATGAAAAGAACTTCCTTTGTAATGTAATGGCTTTCCAAGTTTTCCCACGCCCTTCTCGCCTAGAAAAGCGATTGACATGTATCAACGACATATAAACTCGAAATGACAACCTACAACAAGAAAGAGTACGGTTAAAGTTGAAGCTAGATCTTACCTGTACATAATGCGCGAAAGTTTTCTGCTGTTTTAGGCACTTGCTCATTGTACTGTTATTTTGAGAATGAATACGAAATTGTTACAGACTTATCAATCATGCACACACGAATAATTTGATCATGGGGACATACCAACTCGAAAACTATCCTTCCGGCTCGTTTGCCACCAATGTCAATATCGAAGAATGTTCGTACTGGCATGTTTGTTATGTTGATGCCTTTATAGATAGGTTAGATCTTCAGCCAAGAAAGCAAAAGATCGGAATAATCGAAAGCTTTAAATAATAATCTGCCGGGAATATTCGAGAAGGTTCTCTCATTTTTTTTTGGCAATTTTTTTTGGCATTTATGATTGGCAGGCTTGTGATTGAGATGATCTGCAGATTGTCATACCTTGTTGAAGATCAACAATGCATAGCTGCTACATTCTGTCTGGCAATTTCTATAGAATTAATAGTTCAACGTTTGACAACTCTCTTTCGTCAGAACTGTATGTTGACTTTGATTTATTTAGGGAGATCTGGCTTTGTGAAAGTCGCGAATACTGTAACTTTTATCATTCAAGAGTTATTTATGACGAGGAGTAAATAAATATCAAAGTTTCAGATAATGTGATCTTGTACAGTTATTCCCTCTCACTAGATTTTATAAGACAATTAATATGAGAAGTACGGTATTCTGATTATCAAGATCTTGATTAGTCGTTTCAAACAACAGACTCGTTAATAGTCAAATATTCAGGAAAACTTCTGTCTAAATCAGATTCAACATTTAAGACAGTAGACCTCGTGATTGTTCGCGAAACCAGGCATTCGGTTCGGTTTTCTCTTCAAACGCGGCTCGCTAGCGCTGTTTGCGTGACAGTTGTATGTAGTAGGCAATCTTTAAATAAAATGAATAGCTGTCATTGGATGATCGTCAGGTGATTTGTCATTACTTTTTATCTCCCAAAATTGTTTGATTGCATTCTCTCGAAAAACCGGTTTATAAAATGCGAGTGTTAATTACTGGAGCTTCAGGTTTACTTGGACGCGCAGTTTGCAAGGCATTTAATGATGCTCATCATGAAGGTATATACCAATTGAATTAAGAGTCGCTGTCTATATGCTATTGCTTAAATCGGTTTGTTATCCAACGAACAGTTATTGGAGTTGCAAAGACGAGAGCTGAAAAATATGGACTTTATCAGGTATTAAGAGAACGGTTGATTCATTGAGCACCCCAATTATGATATTGATAGATGGTATCTGCGTTTGCAGTTGGATCTGTTGGATGAACCAGCCGTGGATGCATTTGTAAAACAGCATCAACCACAAGGTGTGTATCATTGGGTCTTTTTCTGGGCAGCTGCCTACTATTAACATGTGTAATTGTTCGTAGTAATCGTTCATGCAGCTGCTGAACGCCGACCAGATGTAGCTAAGAATAATCTACAAGCCGCACGAGCTGTGTGTATTAGAAAAAAGATGTATTCGTTTAATAGGATCGACATTATTTGATACGAACGATACTTAGAAACTGTTACTTCTGTACAGCTCAATGTCGATGTAACAGAACATCTTGCTAAGATTGCCAAGGATATGAACATATTCTTGATCTATATCTCAACTGATTATGTTTTCGACGGGAATAATCCTCCATATCAAGAGGATGCTCTACCAGGCCCTCTAAACGATTATGGTATGTTATATCTTACTTTGGGCACTGAATATTGCTATTTTTTATTAGCGTGTACGTCTTAATGAATGTTGGTTTACGTAGGTAAAACTAAATTGGACGGTGAAGACCGTGTACTCAAGACTCATTCTGATTCAGTCATCCTGAGGATTCCAATACTGTAATGAAGTAAACCGAATTTTATGAGTTTGTTGCTTGTAAGTAATAAATACTTTGCTTTAATCAAACGCGTTATAGTTATGGACCCGCAGAAACCCCCAAGGAATCGGCTGTTAACGAATTAATACTGATTGTTAAGGTAAATATTGTAAAAAAGAACCATCACCGACGGCATGGATGCAATAACCACGTTTCATTCTATTAGGATACATCAGCGGTTGTGAATATGGATCATCGCCAGAAACGATATCCAACGCATGGTAACCACACCGATATTTCAATTGTTGATGGAAATTGATTGTATATGTACTGCTCTTAACAATTTTTGTCATGCAGTTGCAGACGTAGCGAGAGTAATCCTAGATATAGCAGGTAACTTATTAATGAAAGGCTTGAAACCATTTGATCCGCTAATCAAGTGACGTTCATTACATTTGCATACAGTGAAACGTATTGAAGAGAAGCAAACTATGGATAACATATTTCACTTTAGTGCTGAGCTGCAATTGACTAAGTACGAAATGTGCGAAATTTTTGCGGAACTTCTTGGTGTATCAATTAACCACATTAATCCGATAACTACGGCAACAGGGACTGGTATGTTTAAAATGTCGATTCCAAGAAGTTACACGAAAATATGTAGCTGTGTGGCATATTTAGACAATAGTTTTTTTTCCATGAATGAATTTATCGAATTAATATTTCTACTGTAATTAATATCAGCCACACGCCCAAATGATTGCCGATTGTCGACAAGTCGTCTTAGAGAGCTTGAAATTGATACGGGCTGTGTGAACTTTAAGGAATGGTGGAAAACACAGCTCTGGAGAAGAAAATAATAGAACACTGATATGAAACGGAATATTCGCGTTTTCAATAAATGTCGCTCAACAACGTGACGAGTGATGTTCGAGATCATTACGCGAAAATCAAAGATTATATCCTCAATATGGTATTGGTCATGGAATTACAACTGAAGAAATTTGTAATGTTGCGAAGTTATTTGTAACCCGCTGGCCAATTCCGCAACGCTCTTTGGTAGTTAGGGATGTAAGCGAATTCGTATACCAGTAAAGCAATGCGTGAGTTAAATGAGGCTACCAGGCTACAGTTGGAGGAACAATTCCGCGTTAAATTCTAAAAGATACTGATCGAACTTATTTATGAGGAACTAGGGAATTTGATGAAGAATGATTTACTATTAAGCTTTGATTCCTTATTATTTTTTTAGACATTAGTTGCTATAACGACCACCGCAACACTTTTATGAACCTTGAAGCCGAGTTTGTTGTGTAACTTTGAGAATAGGCAGTAGATATACTTGTAGTAACATTATGGCTAACAATCGAAACGAATTACAGTGAAACCTCTTCATACCAGTCAGCCTGGCCACGGAATTTTTGGCTGGTATAAGGAGAAACCGGTATATAGAATAGTATCCATAATAAAGAGTCGTTCCTGAAAAATGGGGTTTTTACTAATTTATTATTATTATTATTATTATATTAAACAAACATTAATTAATATATTTCATTTAGATAACTAATACTAATGGAGTAAGCGGTCCAAATTTATTTTATATGAAATTATTGCTTTTTCAAAATGGTGCGATCATCAACAAAATAAAAAAAACGATTATGAAAACGTGACTACAATCTACCAATAAAGGTCACGTTTTTATAATCGTTTTCATAATCGCTTTGTTGATGATCGCACCATTTTGAAAAAGCTATAAAATAAATTACGACTGTGCAATACTTTTGTAGATACAGTAAAGCCTCCATAAATACAACCCCCATAAGTGCAATTCTCCCCTAAGTGCAACGTTTGCTTAGTGAATAAACGCAACCCCCCGTTTTCTGCAATTGCAACGATTTGTTAGTCCCGTTCTAGTAGATTTATTTCTTTAAGAGCAACTTACGTGATCCACGTAATGTTATTTGTTACAGAAAATGATTATATCCGTCATGAGGTTAAATTTTCCCGATGCAATAACAATAAACGAGTATTTGTCTTTTCCAGAGGAAGATATCATTTTTGAGCTTTCTGAAAGTGACAATATTATTTCTTTACTTAGTGGAAAACACAATGAAGGGGATGATAGTATTGAGACTCCAATAGTGAGTGCGAATGAGGCATTAAAAGATAAAGACGTTTCTAATTCAACAAGAGGGAGCCAACAGTTATTTAAAAACTGTTGATAGTTTGGAATAAATTCAATGAAACAAAGTAGCATATCACAGTTCAATCTGTTCAATAGATGCAAATAGTTTCCTATTAAGGAATGCTGATCTGATGAATCAGACAAGTAGGTCACATGATAAAATCTTCCTCCGCAGACAAACAAACCCATGATCAGCACTAATTTATACAGGTATTAATTTAGTAGCGTGTCGCAAATTCTGTGACAGGCGCAGCAAACATGTCGCAAATATGTGACAGCACAAACGCTAAAATTAATTGTTCTTCATAGTATAATAATTTATATAGAAGCGTGACGTTTTTCTTGTAGCGAAAAAAAATATATACAGTAAGTAGCTCTTCCTCTATCGTCAAATTTTCATGTTGTAATGTTATCATGTTGTGAAATAAAATAATATTACTGATCTTAGTAGTATTCTCCCGAAATCTTCTGATTAATAGACCAGACACTCCAATAAACGGCTCACTTCAGCTGTAACGGAATTCCAATAAACGGCTCACTTAAGCTGTAACGGAATAGCACTGTCTGCTGATCAATTACGTGAATAGCGGAACGAGAGGTTATAATTAATTATCGAGACGATTATTTGTTTAATTAGTTTAGTAAGACAAGTGACGGATACCCGACGTCGGAAAACAAATTGAAGATAGCCCTGTTTAAATTTAAAATAGTATTATTCCCCTTCGATTCTTTAGTAGAATAATTGTCGTTATTATTTTACTAGAGGTACCCTTATTTGTATTCACGAGTGTTTGAAACTCGGATAGGGAGTGAGAAGCGCGCATAATTAAAATAGGTCACCTGAGGCTTAATTCAGTCTTAATTGCACAACTATCGTAGTAAGGGCGATAGTACGAGCTAAGCCTGGTAACATCCGAACACACCTACGCGAAAAGATAAATTGCCCTCCCCAAACCCCGACCGTAACAGGAAACTTCCATAATAATAAATGCATACTCCACATAAACGCAACAACTCGGTTCAAAGGCGCTGCATTTACCGAGGTTTTACTGTATGTGCTAAATGCATTATTCATGGTCCACACCCGAAAATTTTAATTTAGGTAATCCAATTAATAAAATACTCTTTTTATTGCTCTATTCGAATGTACTCAATCAATAAGTTCACAAAGATTAGATTAACTACTAATCACTGATTGATAGTCTTATTGAAACCACAACTGTTTCTATTCAATGTGAAGGATGTAATATGTTGGAATATTAAATTTCATCCAAGATCGCGTAACCAATTTCCGCTGAAACTACAATAAATAAATATTACTTCAGTATACATGGCAATTACTAATCCAGCAAACGATATTCAAATACCAATTTATATAATAATCAACGTAATCATGCATACTTTCAATATTGCAGAGTCTGTCGCTTATTAGAAGAGAGGGGTTAGGAGAAATTATCTGACTTGTGTATTTACTCTTCTTTTCAACAATGTCCAGGGGGTTGACATTGACTTTTAAGATGCTCTCCCATAACTTGGCCTCTTCTGGTTCCACTTTATCTTCAAAATAATGAAAAAAGGAACTGATATTATGAGATAGTAACTGTGCACTTGGTCGCTTTTGGGGATCTGCATTACAGCATTGTTCAGCAAACTCTCTGTAGAATTTCGGAGTTGATCTGGGTAGGCGTGGTCGTAGTCCATTGTGAATTTCGAGCATAAGAGCTAAATCATGGTTCCTTCCCCTGAAAGGTGGTTCCCCAGTAGCAATCTGATACATGAGAATACCTAATGCATATATATCAGATTCTCGAGTAAACTTCCTTGTTCTAATTACTTCAGGAGCGACATAAGGTAAGACACCATAAACTTTTTCAGAATCCGGGGTAGTAGTAGACGCATTTCCTGGTTGTGTGAGTCCGTAATCACTAATCCGCACAATCTTATCCAGTGTAAATCCCCATCTTTTTTGATCATCATTCAGTGGTGTTCCATCTACAAAAAGCACATTGCCACTATGGAGATCTCTGTGAATTAAGGCTTTATGCCCATGCAAGTTGCACAGAGCATCTGCAAGTTGGTACACAATTTCTAGCTTATGATTCCAAGTAAGATCGTTTATGTGTTTCTCCAAAAATGCTTGCAGATCACCATTTTGCGCAAACTCCATAATCATCATAAATTTACCCGTATCTGGATCTTGCGAAATTCCATAGAGTGCCAGAGAATAATTTGTATTACCGTACCTACATTGTGCATAATGGGCCCAAAGCTGAGGAATAATTTGATTGTTAAACAGTTGGGTGATAAATGAAGTCTGTATAATTACAATATAAATTTCTCACTTCATGAAAAAGAGTCTCCAATTGAAAATTGCATTTATCCATGTATTTTATTGCAACTTGTTGGCTTTTTGCTTCCTTACTATTAGATGGAGAGGACAAATTCCAAGTAGCAGAATACACAGTACCAAATGCACCAGATGAGAGTTTCTTCAAGTCAGTAAGTTCCTGAAAATCTATCCACTTTATTTGCCCCTGGTACTGGGTTGAGACATTATAATCAGCTTGCTGTGTTCTGTTTATAAAACTGTCCAATGCTGATTTGGTGTCATTAAGTACTAGCCAATATGATTCTGTAGCTGGTTCTTTAGTAAACCCAATTACCCATGCATTAGTGGGTGACAATATTTCTGGATAACATTTTGTTAACTGTTTAATATTAATATTTTATCCTAGATAAATTAGTAAGTATTACTTGTATAGCAAACAAATTATAATCTCACCTCATAATAATTAAATGATCCAGCATTTGATTTATTGCTGAGCATATGTCTAACTTCCTTTAGCATCACTTTCCTGACTGGCTTATCATATAATCTTACGTCTGACCAGTCTGCTATATGTGTACAGCCATTTTCCAACTGTGATACTTCTTCAACATTTCTCAGTTCTGAATATTTAATCCACAGTAGATAGTTATCAAATTGGTGCATGGTTTGGCTTTGTGATTCAAGTATAAATGAATCCAAATGCACATCACCACTTGTCCAGTTAGGAGGATATTGAGACTTGCAATTTATGCAAAAAATGTTAACCATCAATGGTTTTTGACAGGCTAAGCATAATTTCCCATTATAATATTTATTCCTATGATTATACATTTGGGGCACAACCAGACAATACTTTTTCACTATTGGGTGGAAAGTGAATCCAAAAAAGGTTTGATATTGCTTGTTTAATATATCTGGGTAATCAACATAGATCTAACCAAAGACAAATAGGGTCAAATATTAATATAAATATTGAATTTATGATAATTAAAAGCAGCTAACTTGCAATTATTAACAAAATAAATTAACTCCACCTGTTCATAATATGATTGTGGTGTTGTAGCAGTAATATCAAGAGGTGTCAATGCTAGCATTCTTGTGGAATACATTTGTGTAACAGATTGGTAAGGAGAAAAAGACCACCTCAGGCTCTCATCATGTTGAGGAAATCTCTCATCAACAGAATCATATGGAATCCATTCCAAGAAAGGTTCAAATATAAATTCAGATCTTTCTTGTGTTTCTCTAATAAATCTGTCTAATTGCTTGTTACTGCTGGTCCAGTCACTTGACAATTGCTTGTGTCCACATATGCACCACACAGGAGTACATCTAAGCAGCCCACATTTAGAACAAATTCCATATAGGAGATAATAATAATGAAATATCCAATTAGCAACTAAATAGGTTCTACTTTCCATTTCAGTAAATCCGCATATCATCTTATGACGTTTATCAATAAGCTGGTAGTATTTATTCAAGTGTCTCAAACTCTGTAAAGCTTCTCTCCATGTTACTTGTATATCAAGTGAGTATGTTCTGATAAAGCTCTCTTCAAACTCCCGTGTTATTTTTTCTGTAGCTCCAAGGGGTATCAACACTACAGGTTTCACACCCTTTTCCCAGTACACACGATGAGCATAGGAATAGTCGGGATAATACCACTTAGCGAAATAAATTTCATGATTCGCAGGGTTTTCAATTAATTTAATCTGACGGAATTCTGATCCGGGTATCCAAGTTACATTATGTTTCAAAGCCTTTATGTGTTGGATTAAGTTGAAAAGTCTATCATCAGGTGTCGTTTTAGGTATTTTTAAGCAATATACATCCTCATCATGATACCAGATATTCGTTATACATCCGGTAATCGACAATATATCAAAAAAACACATTTTGTGATATTCGGAAGCTAAGTAGTTTATAGAGTGTAATGTAATGGTTGTCACTACTGCCAAGGGATGGATGCAAGCATATCAATGCGGTTTTATCCTGCAACAAAATATTCGTGTGACAATGCTATGGTAACACTAGTCGTAATCATTACCATCATTGCCCAGCAACATTGTCAATATATGCTTTGTCTTCTTTTTTTTTCCGGCTTGTTACCTTTACTGTACTGTATATACTGTAACCCTCATCCAAACAAAGAAATGTTACGTTGAACTATGTACAACGGACATGACACGATTAGGGAGTTCATTCTATATTCTCTTTGAATAAAAAAATTTTAGGATAACGCATTTGATCGTCTTCACGTATTACATACAGATAAGCTTATAACAATATTTTGTCATGGCTCAAGGCTTCTTCTCAGCGATAAGTTTTAATTTTTTTGCCATCCATCGATATCACCTTTATTTATAATTACAGTATATCCAGGCAAATATCAAATAAATCAGGTGACACCTTGTTCAGCCAAATGCATTTACGAAACGTTTGGCAAATAATAATTTAGAAATAGGATACCTTCAAAACTATGGGACATCGTCTGCTAATTCATGCTAAGAACAGGAATTATTGTATCGATAAAGTCTGCCAGTTTACTCAACAAACTACGAGCATTTTTAGCACAGACCACTTTGCTAGCATGTTCAACGAGTGTTGGTTGTTTCCTCCAGAAAAACCGGGTGAAAAATTTAAGGAATATTATTTGGTTACTTTCACGATTTATTCAAGTATAAGCATTTTGCATCATACCAATATACTGTACATCGTATTAGACTCGGCTAAAACTTATAATTCTTTCCGATATATAGTAAACCTCTCTAAATGCAAGCTCTGGTTCGGCCCTGAGATTATCGTTATAAACCATTAAGTATTTTACTCGATAAAAGCAAGTCATGTATGATTCGCCATATGGGTCCCAATGCATTGCATTTAGAGAGGGTTACTGGAATGTCAAAATACGTCGAACGCTACGATATTGGATATCAACAAAATAAACAGTGTATAGTATACTATAAAAATTGCTTTAGGTATGAGTATTTAAAGTGTGGTAATAGTAATACCTTTGAACAACTTTGGCGCGCATACAGTTTTTAACATTCAAGATAAATACATTAAAACCTGTCCGAACGAAAGGCCGGTTAAATAAATGCGTACCGTTATGTGCAGCATATGGCATTGACAAAAAATTGTAATTTACTTGTTTCAGCATTGAAGAATCAAAACTTAATATTTTACAACGTCTATTTGGTTTATAATATACTGTATAAATTGTCTTGAATAAAATTTGTAACAATTTTTCGACTGTCTTTAAGTATCGGAGAGTGCAAGACTATGAGTACTGTCATTAGAATATATTTATTTGCGAATGTGGTCCAGGTAGTAGTAGACCTGCCGCTTGATTATGACCAAATGACAATCTTACGAAAAAAAGTTATACCTAATGTTATATCCCAAAAGTACAATTAGAGAAGTTACCTTAAATTGGATGACTTTCGACGTCTAGTAAAATTTAAGATATCAATTATAAATATGTTATTTACGGGCAAAGAGCGCGGCTGGTGTCTGTTACAGTTATCTTGTAATTTCAAACCTGTGCTTTTTGCGTTTGAGAAATAAATCTGATTGTATTAATGCTATCAATTAACGCTGCTTTTTGTGTATCAACATACAATTAATTATAATAAGATATAATAGTTGGATAACACTATTAAATTAATGCATTATTTAAGAACTTTTGGTTATGTCAATATTAATGATAGTTGCAACGAATATCAATGTTTATTAATAGGACTTTTAAATATTATTGAATTAATAATTAGCCAATTAATTGAGAAAGTAAATGCAATTATGTACAGTCCATTATAAGTTTTATATCGAATCGCAGATAGAATTTTATAATATAGTTCATAAAAGGATATGTCATGCTGTATAGTAAATCGAGTCACGCACCCACTAATTGACTTCCACAACTTCTTAAAGTAATAGTTGTGTTATTGTCATATCTAATTTTAGAAATGGCCGTAAAAACGTGGCATAGTTAATAATAAATTTAAACAAAGCTAGTTTTTTTGAAAATTATCTCAACTTTATATCTATTACTGCTCATCTGCACGTTACCATTACATTTAGGATTGACTTATCAATCAAGTTATTATTAAGAAGCTATAAAGTAAAGTTTGTTGCCGCAAATAATATTGTTTATAACATTGTTTTCTTTCTTAAACTGGGAATTCTATCATTGTTTATGTAATGTAAATTGTTTATTTTATTGATTGGCTCGTTATATGACTTGTGTGGAACAGAATATTATATAATAGTGAGATTATCGGATTTTACCAAGAATTTTTTTTTTAAAAAAAATGAAAACTTGTACAATTATCATTTTAGCGATTATATATGTAAGTTGTCTCAAAAGTTTATATTGTTGTAATTATTTACTAAATGTTATTATATATATCTTAGTTAAATGCAGGCATAGTGAATACACAAACATTGAGCGGAGTTGTTGAACTCGCAACAGGAAATAATTGGTATATTTGTTCGCCCGAACCAACTGGTAAATTGAGTAAGTATAAACTCATTTGATAGAATAATGAACATTTATATGATTCTATTACCCATTAATCCACCTTTTCAATTAGATTATTCGGTCACAGTCCACACTGAATCTCTTTCTCCGACAGTGGGTTTTGGATTCATTTTAACCGAAACTTTTGTTCCCATTCCAACGTTGTGTGTGAGTGGTATTACAAGCCATATTCTATCAGCTGTGGAAATTCTTGAGAACCTTGGGAATCAAACAAACTTTGTTTTTCAACAGCAATTATCATGTTATGACAAATGTGTTGAATACTGTGATGGAAATATTGCAACTCTCTCTACTAACAATTGGTGTGTTTTGATATCCAATCCACAAACAACAACTATACTCTTCTCTACCAAAATAACGTTTAAAGACCCATCACCATCACCAACACCACAGATCAATGGAAAGGAAAAGGTTAAATGGAATAGAGAGTTTATTTTTTGTCTTGTATTAGTATGGATTATTGGACATTTTTTTGAGACCAGTTAGAGTTTACAAAGTAAAGGACATTAAAAGTTAATCACTAGATTTCAAATTAATAGTTTGAATTTCAGTTTTGAACCTATCTAATGTTTATAGAGGAGTAAAGAAAGGTGGAGAGAAATTCCGGGAAACCACAATATCGAACTGGGAGCGATTGACCTAATATTAGGGAAATGATTGTTCTGGTTATGCAGGGGGTTTGTTTGTACATCCAACCATTGTTCTTGGCGATCCTGTAAGGAAACAATTTTTATATTATTAGAAATCCAGATATTTTTACATGCATGATACCCCTTTTGTTTCGAGAGATGAATGAATAAATGTAAACTAGTATCATTGGGGTACCTAATCGTCTTACACTGATAAAAAAAAGCATTTGTTGTATGAATTTGGCAAACCACAAATTACTTGATTATAAAGCAATCCAACCAACCGCTGTGAAATCATAATCTCAAACACACCTAATACCTCATTTCCCATCGGTTCATTTGTTTAGACCATAACCATTAGTCTTTTCTTGATACTCACAACCGGTTATAGTAGCTTTTGTGTAACTTTTTAAGGTTAATATTAATTACATATAAGAACCACAAAAACATCAGTGTAGAATGGTATCTTGTCAATAAAGTCGTACCCATTGATCCACAAACATCATTATTATAATGTGGAATTATACCTTATTACTCTTGTTATTATTTACCATGGTATGGAAAAGAATTATGACGTTTGTATCTTCAGATATACTTATTAATCACGATAATATCATAACCTATTAGATAATTGTTACAAATGGTGGTAATTATGTAGGGAGTATTATTCTCCTTCCACTCTCATCGTGGTATCTGTGTTCCACTAAACCAACAAGTTCTTTGAGTAAGTTGTGTTATTCCATTAAAACTCTCCATCTTGAACTCGTCATTAACACAACACAATTTCAGGATATCTCGCTGTAGTTTCTGAACAACAGCTGCAGCAAACACCAGACTTTGGTTACTTTTTTAATAACCATCCGTTTCATTTTCCGGCGGAACCATGTTTTAAGGGTATTCTTGTTAATGGTATGCCATCGATTAACCTTCTCGAAGATATTAGTGTGAATACAACGTTCATTTCTTGGAATTCAATATCTTGTTATCACGAGTGTGTATCAACCTGCCCAAAAGCTGATAATGGGTTGAACTTTACAACATGGTGTTTATTAGTAAGCAACACCAAAACTAGTGTCGACTATGTTAATGTTACTTTATCATTTGATGCTCCACCTTCCAATACAACTTTGCCAGGGACCATACCAATAAACTCTGCGAATAAGAAAATCGTGCTGAGTGTTTGGTTTGTTCCTGTCTTTGGTTTAGTGGGAATTATTGGGATTATTATATTGTAAAAAATAGATGGTTTAGTTTATATTTTTATATTGTAACATAGTACCAAATTTTGATGTAATTGTTAAATAGTTAAGAATAAATCAAGTACGTAACTCTTGTGTTACCGGTTAATTCAATAGAGATAACAACGCCGATATATGATAGATAGCTGCTCTTTGTTTTTTTGAAATCGCAATTTTAACCAAATTCAATCTCATGTTATCATCAGTGTATTAACCTACCCGAAAACTACTCCTCAATCGTTGATACTCCATCTTCCAACACCAGCTTGCCAAGAACCGTACCAATAAACTCTGCGACTAAAGAAATCATGTTGAGTGCTTGGTTTGTTCCTGCCTTTGGTTTAGTGGTGGATTGGGATTAGTTAATCGCCGCTGGTGTAACCTCTTCGAATAATACCCCATTATGTTGGTGGCGATATATTAATAGCAAATTCGTACATTTTATGTAGTGTAACTGATACTGATTTTGGCCATCAAAGGGCTTAGGTTGAATATCTATTTCACATTAAATAAATAAATAAATATATATATATATATATATGCTAAAACGCTGTTGTTTTTATCCCGTTCAAAAAACATTGCATTGTACACTGACACCAATTACAAGTTTATAGCTTGCAATGGTGATATGGAATCATTAACAAATAATAGGCGACTCAGTGAACCTATTACTATTAACATACTTAAGAAAACAACTGCCCTATTCTTTAATCTATGTATAATTGCTTATCTGAGTTGGATGTGTGTACAATTAAGTTATGGTGAAAGAACACTCATTTACTCAAGAAATAATATTGAAGGAATTTCTCCAGCCGGTACATCTCATTGATTAGAACAAGAGCAAACGTTACGTTATAGCAAACGTTACGTTATAAGCAGACGTTACGTTATAAGCAGACGTAGCAACTAATATATTATAGATATTATATTCATTTATCAGTAAAGCTAACAGCAATATCTCATTATAGATATTATATTCGCTTCTACTTACAATTTTACTGCTACATGTTCGTTAATACAATATGGTATGTGACAAATTTTTGCTACAATTGAAAAAGGCTTTTATTGATCACTTTGTTAATATAAACATCGGATCTTTCTATAGATGGACAAGTTTCAAAGTCCGACTGTCAACCTTATCTAAATTCATCTATTTTTGATCTCACTACTCAAACGTACATAATAAGATTTGTTGCAAGAGACTTCAAATTTATTGATCCTGTTAGCCATACCTTCAACAGAAGTGTTGTGCGCAAAGTCAATTTCGAATTTTCTATAGATGATGCAGTTTATCCATTTGACGGGGATGCTCAAATGTGGGCAACCTTATTTGATAAAGGCAAGTAGACTTGTAAAGGTTTCGATCACGAACATGTCAGTTACATATAATAAAACCATGACTTTATGAAACAGAATTAGAAACTGCTTCACAGAACAGCCTGATACAATCAGGGTCTCATGTAAGCAATTTCAGCTCTATGGTCTATTCTAATCTTTACACGATTGGTAAAAGCCAGGTAATATTAAAAAATATTCGATTGTAATGAATATCTAGTACAATTATTATACTTTATTCTAACCAGCTTTTTATTTTTAGCATAACGTTTTTAAGATTGAGCGCACTACTCGTAAGTTTATTGTTCCAAGTGTGCAAAATTTAATTTTTGGAAGACCTCATTTTACAACCTTACCAATACTGAGTAGCATGTACGGTACGTATCTGTTAAAAACTGCCAATAACTCCTTCCTCTTCAAACACAGCCATACTAACAAACAAATTTATAGCCACATTTCCTCTTGTTAATATCAGCAACAATATTTATGCACGTGCGTCTATGGAGCCTTATTCTTATATGATTACCACTGAAGTAGAAAAGTCGTACGTATACAGAAGTATTGTCAGTTCATAAAATGAATAATACTTGATGCACGTGGTTAAAATATTTCCTTGATTGTTTAGCAATTTGACATTACTCGATGTCTTGAGTGGTTTAGGAGGTATGTATTCTTTAATTGTAGCATTCTACGGACTGTTATACGGTATGTAAATCTACGTTTATTTTGTTTCTTTGTCTATAAATTATTGTAATGCATATATAGTAATAATTCTGGTCTTCGTTTCAAAAGGTGCTAAAGCGGTAGTGCCTTGGGGTTGCGTTCAACGAATTAATTTAAAATTTATAGGTTGTAACTTTCGTAAACTAGTTCTCAACAAGTTGGACCCAATCGCTGTATGGGTCGAACGCCACAAAGACAATGAAGATGAAAGCGTAAAGAGAAACGTCGTAATTGAGAACGCGACAGATGTATTTTCTAACAAGATTAATGAAATAGAAAAAAGACAAGAAGCTTTGGAACTTTTTCTGCAAAATTATGTCGTGGATATGACATTTTATACTGATTATGATAAGCGTATTACTCAGTCATTAGAATGATATGACTATTCCAAGTGAGCGCATAAGAAAACTAACAATTTAAATATGCTTGGTATCTAAGAGAACCAACCCTTTAATTGCGCGTTGGATAAATTATTCTATAATTTAGTTGTATTTTAGAATAGAATAAGACACTTTAATAGACAATAGAAATCTCTTTCTAGCTTGGAATAGCCAAAGCAAAATTAAAATTCTTATTATTATGTGAATTTTTCAAAAACTTATATAGCAAATACTTAAACGAGCCACTTAAAAGTATTAGTATTATTGGTTCCATAAATGGCTTTAAACTTATTTCTGTCAACGTAAATAACAATTCATACGGCACAAAGCCTTTATTTGTGACGTCAAATTAAACTTTACGGACGTTTGCCCAATAAAGCACGCGAAGTTACTAAAATTAGCAATCACTGTAGGGGATCCTTAAATTATAATTGTGGAAAGCGAGCGCATTGGATTAGCCTGCATTATTAATAATATTTTTTGACAATGCCGTATTTAAAATATTCGACAAGACATCTAATAGCTCATCAGACCCTGTAGCAAAATTTTTGGTGGACTTGACTCATAAATGCAATAGTACGTGATATAACCGCTGTTAACGAAAAAAGTTATACTTGAATATAGATACAATAAAAATTAAAAAACCTTACGGGTTTTTTCTGTTATAAAAATACAATTGTAATGTGTTTTTGTTTTAAATTTGGATTGAGTGTTGTTCGGTCCTTTTTTATAAAACGCTAACATACGTATCACCATTATCTGACACTTACATTACAGCATTATAGAAACAAAAAAAAAGCATGTTTCTGACTTACACTCCCGTACTAATGTTGTGTCTGAGTTCGGGACCTATTTCAGTTCAGAAGCCAGTCCAGAACTCATTTGTCTCAGTCCAGAACTGAGACAGGTCCCCCAACTGAGGTACAACGCTAATATATGTGTTCTGGCCCGATCTGTCCATCAGCCCGATCTGAACCAAGTTGATTGTCATTGGTCCATCTTGGAAAACCCCCCCTAAACCTATCACCTGACTTTTTCTGGTAACCCCCCTGGCAAATACGATGATTATAAATTCTTTATTAATATGAATTAGAATATGCATGTCTAATTATCTTTGTTATGACAAGAT